GAGGAGAGAGAGAGAGAGAGAGAGAGAGAGAGAGAGAGAGAGAGAGAGAGAGAGAGAGAGAGAGAGAGAGAGATTAGGAGCCTCCGGAGCTCTCCCTAAGCTCGTGACTGCTGGCGTTTCACCCCGCCCTCCAGGCGACGTCCCTCGCCCACCCCAATGTCATGTGCCTCGCGTATGCGGGCGACGTGATGCTCCTTGGCGAGCCGGACGCCTGCGCGGCGGCATTTACCTACCTCACAGCCGCGCTCAGGCACCTAGGCTTCTCCCACAACCCTGCTAAGTGTGAGGCGTTGTCGCTACTGTTGCTGCCGCCTCCAACGTCCCACCTGGCATCCCCTTCTGCCCCAAAAGGCCTGCGCGTGCTTGGAAGCCACGTCGGACCACCGGGGGCCGCAGCACGCTTCCTCCGGGACAAACTGGGCGGAGCTGGCCAGCCCACTTCCGACCCTGGCCTCCATGGACCCCCAGACGACCACCTCTTACTCACCCGCTGCATCTCCCGAAGGGTGGCATACCTCATCTTTACAACACCCCTCGACCTCCTGCCCTTGGCAGAGTGGTCCGACTGGGGGAGGGATCTATTCCATACCCCTCTCAGCTGCAACCTGCAGCCGCCAAGGGGGAGGTAGAACAGGCTCGGACTTGGGCTCAAGCCTCCTTCCTCCTTCCCTCGAGGCCTGGGGCTGGCGGACCCAACATTGGAGGGGCCCCACTCCTTCCTCCACCAGAGTGGCACGGGCCCGGGCCCTCCTGGCCTCCCTGCCACTCGCCCTGCGGGCCAATGGCCTTGGTTGCACAGTCCCTTGCCCCGGCCTACTCCAGCCCCACCCACTCCACATCTGGCTGGCGGCGTGCGAGGCAGAGCTCCCACACGCGGCTCTGGACCAGCTGCAGTCTGAGCGGCTGGAGCCCTCGGACGTCCCCCTGCAACACCGCCTCGCCCTGCTCCAGATTTGCAGAGCTGCTGGCCGCCACTCGGGGGATGGAGCTGAACCCTCTGAGCGGGCATACCCAGCGGATGCTCTCACTAAAGGGTATGGGGCCGGGGATTGGCTCCTCACCATACCCATTCTCCCTCTCTTTGGCTAGCCCCCCCCCACTTTGCCATCGCGCTGGCCTTCCGCCTGGGGTTGCCCTTCCCCGCGCCAAGCTCTGCGACTGCTTTAAGCGTGTGAAGTTCCCGGACCCCGCCTTCCAAACCACCTGTTCCGTTGCGGAACCCGCCATGGCCGCACCAACACCCATAATGCCCTCCGTGACGAGTGCATCCGGATGGCCCGGGATGCCGAGTTCATTGTCACGAAGGAGACGGCCATGTACAGCCCTGTGGACGGCAAAACGGCCGACCTGGCCATTCGGGATAGGGACTCCGGGGCGGTGTGGATCTGCGACGTCACATTCACAGACCCCATCAGCACCCGCGACCCCGAGGCCCGCAAGGCCGTGGATATATGGCTCGAGAGCAGGCGGCCAAGAAGATAGACCACTACTCCTACCGGGCGGAGTACGTGGTCTTCTTCCCACTCGCAGTCGAGACCTATGGCTGCCCCTGCGACGAGGTACCCACCTTCCTGAATCTCTTGGGGGACACGGGAGCCGGACGCCTTTTCGACGCGGATCCAAGCTCCTACCAGGCAGGGAAACTGCTCAGCCAGTTCCGCCAGCGCTGGTCCATCACACTCCAACCGGGGGCAGGCCCTCTCTTACCTCGGGAAGGTCACGAAGCTTTGCCGACGGAGCGGCCTTCCCTCGGCGACCCAGAGGCAGACATGTCCCTCGGGGACTGTTTCCTCGAACCCCGCACGGGGCTCGAGTAGGCCCATAGACTCCCTAGGCCGGCTTTACCACGTACCTGTTCCCTGCACCGTTGCCTAGCTTGTACCCAGGATTCAGCAATACAAAGGACCAGTTGAGAGAGAGAGCGTAGGAGCCCTCCGGAGCTCTTCCGAAGCTTGTGACTGCTGGCGTTTCACCACCGATCCACGAGCTCTAGGCAGAAAGATTTAAGTTTTTGACCCTAGCAGCTCGAGCCGCGCCTTAGCCCTGCCGAGCCAGGCTGGCCCTCGAGCTGGGCTCGACTCTTAAACGACGAGCCAAGCCGGCATTGATCAGTTGCATCAGGCAACCTAAGATGAGCCAAGCCCACTGCTCGTGTCTACTCGAGCGCATGCTAAGTCGTGCTGGCGCCAAGCCCACTTCGCATGCTACTCCCTCTCGTCTGCCGCTGCTACTGGTGATCCGTACCGTGCTGCCTACATTGATGTGCTGCTTGACTCAGTTGCCGAGGCGCAGGGAAAGTATGATGTTTCACTGGCGGCTGATGCAGCACCTTATGATGCTGCTGCTTGTCACCTTGCCCGCCTTCCCTTGTCGCGCGGCTTGTCCAGTTGAGTGACAATCACCGCTCCGGTGCAGCCTCTTATTTTGCTGCTGCATGAGCTGCTGCCAGCTCATCTTTCTCCAACTTGCTAACTGGAATGTCGTCACTACGAGGGTATGCCAGGTCATTCTCACCTGCCTGCCTCCCTTTCTTCTGGTGCAGTGTTCTCACTACTGCAAGCTCCATAACTTTCACGCCTATCTCAAATAGCACTTTCAAATGCAGACTCACATCAGCGCCATAAACCCCTTCATCAGCCTTTGCCTGTCCGACTTAACCTCCATGGCAAACTGCATTGCCCGCGTGTAGATGCTCCGCTTGCAGCTCTTCTCGCATCTGCCTACTGTGGCACCATTCTTCTGCCTCACTCTGAGAACGTAATTCGTGTCACCCTCTTTGGTCATGGTCCTACATTCTTAGGCATAGTTTAAACTTCACAGTCACCTCCAACTGCTGCTGCTGCTACTGCTCCTTCTCCGGCACCAGCCCTATTTCTCACCCTTGCCCCTGCTGCCCCCCTTGCCACTACTACAGGTCTCGATGTAGTAGACATGGGCAGAGAGATGGGCCGGCGACAGGCTGGGCCAGCCCCTCCTGTCAGTAAACGGGGCCTCTCGTGGTGCCCAGCCCAGTCCATCACGGGCTGGCCCATGGCCCATGCAGTTGCCCATCGATTCTAACACGCAAAACAAGCCTCGCTGATCTGAAATTTTCGGCGCGTAAACCCAAATGTTTTACGCGATCTGCGTGGTCCGGCAAGCAAAACGCTAGATATATGTCAAGGCAGGAGGGACAGCAAAAGCACACAACCAACTCAAGAAGTGGTGCGACGAGCATGGTGGGAAGCATTGCTTGGCACACAGAGGAGAACGTTGAAACAGCCCATGGCAAAATAGGGAGAAAGTTGGGGCTAAGTGGGGATGGAGGAGGGAAGGAGGGAGAACGAGATGGGGATGGTAGCTGGTGGGAGGACGATGGGGTGGACAAGGTAAAGGCGGGGAGGGGCACGCGAATGGGTGCACAGGAGCCGAATGGGAAGGCGAATGGGAGGTGGGAGATGAAAGAGGTGTCCCTTGGCTCCGAACAGGAAGGCCAAGAATATTCCCAACGTCTTCCAAACAAAAGAGCTCGGTTCTGTTCCTACAAAAGTGGGTCCTCTGCACCAACCTACTTCACACAGCTTACAGCGAGGTCAGCATATAGAGGTTTCCAATTCCAGAAGGGATGGCCCGATAAGCTGATTCCTTGCAACAGACGAGGGTGGAAAGTCGACATGAATTTCTGCTCTGCTGACCCTAAGAGCGCGTTGTGCACTCTTATGAAACAGTCAATGCATTGAGACAAATCTACAAGAACTGATTGGTCAGTCCAACAGGCCAGGGATTTCAGAAGTGGCAACTTTAGAAGGTTGCACATTGGAGAGGTTAGAGAAGGTGGGAGCATGCAGAGTGCAAGCCTGCTACAAGGTTTACTTGCCATTCAACTGCTCAGGCTGATCCAATTTGAGCATGCTTTGGAACTGGGATAAGGAGTGCTCTGGAGAACCGACGACCATTGACTGCGAAATGGCAAGCGACCGACGGGAAAGTATGATGCAACTTGGCACATGATTCCAGTGAACTTCCTACAGCTAAGAGAGCCGAGTGAGCAAGGTGATGCTGTCAGGAAGGGAGCCAGTCAACGAGTTGTTTGAGAGATCCCTGTGTGGCGTGGGTTGGAAAAGTCAGGTGAGAACAGTGGGCATGGCAGCAAGCACACACGAGAACAGTGGCATTCTGCGGCAGACTCTGAGCAAATGCAAGATCCAGCCATGGCAGGAGGGGGAGAAAGGCGGCGCTAAGTGAGGATGCAGGAGGGAAGGAGGGGGCAGAGGGATGGGGATGGTGGCTGGGAGGATGCTAAGGCGGACAAGGGAAGGCGGGGAGGGGCACACGGATGGGTGTACAAATGGAAGGCGAATGGGAAGGGAAAGTGTCTCGTGGCTCTGCACAGCAATGCCAAGAACATTGCAACACCCTCCCAACAAAAGCAGCGTACATCATTCAACACCGGCCCAGGTGGGCCATGAGTGGTGCATTCAAACGAAATGCGGATCCTCAGCTGCTGCCTACTTAACACGGCTTACGGAGTGTCCAAGTGAGAGTGAAATAGCAATTAGGACAAGAGAACAAGGCAATGCTTACAGTAAGCCCAAAGTTCCTGACAACGAGGAAATAGTAGCAGGAATAGAGCCGCTGAGCTGAATGTCTCCGAGATACCTGTGATTGCGAAGAAACGTCAAGCAAGGCACGACGAATGGGGTGGCAAAGTGGGAAAGACATGGATCAGGGATCAGGGTACGACATATATATTGCAGGATGATAAGAGGAGGGGAGAGAAGTCCAGAAGCGAAGTTTGACAGAATGTGACTACTGGAGAGAACCGGATGTACAGTTATGAATTGAGACGAGAAGATGACAAAGAGGGGTTTAGAATAAGATGATCAATAGACAGACAATAACAATCACAGAGTGACTCACATCAAGATCAAGTCTAAGTGTATACCTTTTTCACAGGTTGCACCCACCCTGCATGGGGTAGAGCCTGCCCCTCAATCATTTGTGTTTATTATAAGTGATATAGCTGCAGAGATCTCATTGCACAAATCCGTTTGAACAGATGCAATTGAACAATCTGATGTGGACACAACTGCAACAACTAGCAAATCCACCAGCAGATGGGGGATAGTACGAGTTCTTGCTGGACTCTGTTTGCTGTATGCACATGACTTGTTGGACTCCTCCGGAAAACAGTGCTTACAATATAAAATCGAGTGACTTCGGTTTGTGCACACAATCAGCACTTCGTACACAAAACACAGTGAAGTGAAGAGGGTGGTGGTATGTGGACTTTGTCAAAGAGGATAAAACGGGCGAGGGCGCAATGGAGAGCGTGGGTTATGCTTAGCATCAAACAAATTGACGCTGAAAGGTTGGACAGGAGAGGCAGGAGCATTCAGAGCAAAGCAAAGCAGAGGCCTTAAATCAATTGCAGGGATTTCAGAGAGCCAATTGCAGCAGGAATTGAGCCAGACACCTGACAACTTTGTATGCGCCTGTGATGATGAACACGAATCAGGCATGCAAAAGGAGTAGGGAGACTAAACTGGTTAGTGAAGTTGACAGAAGGGCATTGATTGCCGGCTCCAGCATGTGTCATCCACACATAGCACACGGCAGCATGGTGGACATTGTTCCTGGAATGTGCGCACACATAGCAGGATGGCGGGGGTAGGAGAATTGAGGAGACGCCGACACGGTGGGGATGTTCATGGGAGGGCCATGGTCGGGCCGGCCCGGTCCGAGCCCGATGTCTACGGGACAACACAGGCCGGCAGGCCCAAAAGACCCATTGACGAGCCAAAGCGCAGCCCGTCGACGACCTGCGCACCCAAGTCGCGCGGGCCGAACATTCAACGCCTAGGTCAGCGGAACGCCAGATTGCACGGATCGGCAGGCGAAGTGATAAAATCTATGCGGATCGGGGCGGCGAAAAGCCAGATCCGCCTCAGCAGGCAAAATGCCCCATCCCCGCGGATCGGCAGTTGAAATGCCACGCACCATGGGTCGCTAGTTCCGTCTCAGCTGGCCCGGCCCAAGGATGGGCCTACCCGGGCCCGCCTCTACTCATGGACCTCGGGCCGGGGTGTAGCCCAGCCTGGCCCGACCGCCCATGAACATGCCTATGGCCCAGCTGGCCAGTCCAGTGGGAGCGTGCCGGCCCCCGGCCGAGCCCCACTGGAGAGGACAGTCCGGGGTAGGCCCGTCCTCCAATCGGGGAGGCCCCGTGTGTCTTGAGTCGACTCAAAACACACGTTTCGCAACCCCAAACTTTGCAGATCTTCTGCACGATCTGGGGGGGCGGATCGTTTTGACCGCTGATCCGCGCCTGTCAGGCACATTCGCCATCTGGTCTGCATGAATTGGGTAGATTTTCGCCCCTAAGGGTCAGTGACCCGTGCAACTCGGGTCGTGCAGGTTGTCGACCGGACATGCTTCGGCCCGTCGCGGCCTCCCAGCCGGCCATCCTGTTTCGGCCCATCTTCAACGCTGACGACCGAGTGGACGAGCTTGGGCCAGCGCTGCCACGGACTGGGCCGGCCCGGTCCTATCAACACGGGCTGAGCAGAGGCCGAGCCCGCCCGCGAACGACTCGGCTGGGCCGGTATGCCCCGGCCCGGCACTGAACATATGTAGAAGGGTACTCTTTGCCTGCTCCAACATGTGTCCGTATTCAACAAGGTCATTTGATTTAGCATTAAACTATGAACATGATACAGTGGAAAACAGTACGAGGAGGAAGAAGAGGAATGACGAGGAGGGATGACACAAATCGAGGAGTGAAGCATAGAGTAATATAGGAAAGTAGAAGAGAAGACAGAGGCGAACAAACTCATAGGAAAGGGAACGACTTGAACCAAGAGGAGGGAAAGGCCATACGTACTGTCGCTGCTGTCATTGAGAGAATATAACACAATAGCTACTGCCAGTTGTAGACCTGCCTTACAGCTTAGCGCTTGTGCGAGCCTGTTCTAGATACCAATGCAGCAACCCGCTCCCTTACCAACTGAGCACAGCAAGGTACCAGAGTCTCGCACCCACTAAGTTAGTCCAATGAGACGTCTGCGGGCATTTGTCTCGCGTCATTTACAAGTCCACTCCAGCGCTGTGAACCAGTATGCAGTACAGCATGTAGAGTAGAGAAAGAGTGGTGGTAAGTGGGCTGGAGAGAATAGGATACAAAGGAAGTGAAGGGGGGGGAGGGCAAAAGGGACAAACGGGAGTTGGCTAGATGGGCAAAGATAGGAAATCAGAGGGCTTACAGGAATTGAAGACGTGTAGAGTTGCTGGTTGCAGCAGGGATCGAACCAGTGAGCTGATTCGGGCAAAGACTCCTGTCGCAATAAATATGAATCAGGCATGTGACAGAAAATAGCAATGATTCAAGTTCACATGATAGGAAGTATATTCATTGGCGAGATGCCTAAAAATGCTACATGAATAAGATGGCTGAGTTGTGGACATTTCTGGAGCGTGTGGAGACACAGGGACAGGATAGGGGGTTAGGAGAGGAATTGTTTGCCATGGATTGCGATGTGATGATAAGACCGAAGGTGCATGCAGACGTGCTGCAAACTCCATGTGCAAACATGACCCAAGGATAGGGAAGGTGAGAGAGCAATTGGAGGAAGAACATAAGAACATGGAACAAAGGATCATATGAAGAGCACAGAAGAAGAGAAAAAGGCTTTTGAGAAACTTTTCTCCAATGCTTTGGTGAGTTTTCCAAAGTTGGACTGAACTACCTGCTTGCAGTTGTGGAAGCTGCCTTGCAGCTGTGCACTTGTGGGACCGTGCAGTAGATAGAGCAGAGGGCCGGGCTGGCTGCAATGCGGCCTGTCGACGGCCCCCGCAAACCAAGGCGCGGGGTCCAACATTTCGGCTTTAGGGTTTTGGCAAACACTACCCGCCACACCACGTCGCAGAACTAGCGTAGGGTTTCTCACCATTTCAGCTACCCAACGGCCTATATTCTACTCTCACCAAATGCGCTAGCTTTCCCAAAGATTAGGGTAAGCTTGTGCAGTTAGGAAGAAACTGAGGTTTCATGGGCAGAGGGGCAGGCCTTGGGCCAGGCAGTCTCCTCTCCCCTTAGTGGACGGCCTGTGTCAACGGGTCTGGGTCGACACGTCTGCTCCGTCTCTGACGATGACGACAGGCTGGGACAGTCATGCTGGGCGATATTTTCTACCCTCAGGTCAATTTTCGCCCAGATCTGCGACGATTAGGAGGAAAACGCCAGCCCGAATTGGTGGGCGAAACGACCAATCCACCGGATCCGGCGGCGAAACACCGGAACCGCGCTAATTGGGCGGAACGCCACGGGCCCAAGGGCCACTAGGCGCATCACAGCACCCCGGCCTGTCGACTTCAGACAGGCCTCGGGCCGGGGTGGCGGCCGGCTTAGCCCCAAGCCCGTCTCTTAGATAGACGGGCCGGGGCAGCTCGGGCCAGGCCGGCCCGAGCCTAGACATGGGCAAAATGCGATTGCGATTTAAATCGCATCGCACTGGGGGGCAATTCAATCAAATCCAATGCGATTTGAAATCGCATCGCGCGATTTAATTTCTGGAAAAATAAATCGCACATCGCGTTCTGCGCGATTAATATTTTAAAGCGCATGCGGTATTTAATTACATCGCGCGATGCGATTTTAAATCGCATCGCGTTTAAAACAGAATGAAAGAACACCCAAAAAGGAAAAAAAACCATGGCTGCCGGGAAAATGAATCACGGGCAGTCGTAAGCTAGAGTGCAAATAAATAGGTGGTTTCGTAGTGGGTTTCAGTGCTACATCGCATGCATATCGCATTCAAATCGCGTTTTCCAGTGCGATTAAACTGCGATTTAAATTAAATCGCGCGATAAATAATTCATCGCATCGCGCGATGATAAAAAAGATGTTTTTTTGCCCGTGTCTACCCGAGCCCATCCCTTGCCTATGCCTACGCTGAGGGGTTTGAGCTCCTATCTGCCAATGATAAGGGCATTAGGGTTGAGCAAACTACCCGACTGGGTCGGGTACCCGGTACCCGGATCCGCTTTTAGGGCGGGTCGGGTATCTGAAAATCCTGTAAAATACCCGGCGGGTCGGGTCCGGGTCACCCGGGCGGGTATTCGATACCGCTACCCGAAATGCTACCCGACGACGCGGGTAGCGGGTACCCGCCGGGTCGAGTATTACATACCCGAGTTCGGGTAATACCCGAAGTCGGATCGGGTATACCCGACCCGAAATCGGGTCGCGCTACTACCCGTCGCAGCAGCGCGATCAAAATTGGGGAGGGTTGGAAATTTCGACCATTTGGTCGAAATTTCCTCCCCAATTTTGCAGACCTAGTTTCGTAGAGTCCCTATCATACTCGCGCCACCAAACTACAGCACCCACATTAATCTAAACATTCCCCGCTCTCTAAATCGTTTTTTCCCGACATTACTTAGGGTTTAGGTAAAACAAAACGGAGAGAACTTGGTTGCACGTGGGGGTTAGGGTTTTGGAGATCTTGAGTTACACGACGTATTCGCCCACTCGAAATCCTTGCCGTAGCGCATAGTTTAGGGTTCGAAACTATCCCGTCATGCAGTTCTACGACCGTGACGGGCGTCCGTCCCTTTCGGGAGCGGGAGGGTTGAGGGTGGCGGGCTCCAGACGGTGCCATGCCTGGAGCATCTCTGACAGGCCTCCCTCTCCCTAGCGGCCGCCAGAGTTTTGCATTGGCGAGCGGTGTCCGTGCGGACGAGGGGGGAGAGGATGATGACTTCCTGGAAGAGGTGGAGGCGGGCGATGCAGGAGGGGGGGAGCATGGGGCAACCCAGGGGGGGGGGGAACGGTGGGCAGGGGTGGTGGACGGGGGGGGGGGAGGCGAGGGTGTCCAGGAGTGGCATCCCAATGCGGAGGAAGAGGAGGATGAGGCGTCAGGAGATGGACCGGCCAAGGGGAGGGGGAGGGGGAGGGGAGGGAGGGGGAGGGGGAGGGGGAGGGGGAGGGGGAGGGGAGGGGGGAGGGGGAGGGGGGAGGGGAGGCGAGGGGAGCCGGCAGGGGAAGGGGGAGGGGAGGGGAAGAGGTCGCGGCCGTGGTGGACCTGGTGGGAGGGGCAGGGCGATTGGTGCCGGCAGTGGCACTAATAGTGAGGGGGAGCTGGATGTCGGTGGTGGGGATCAGCGCGCTTGGGGATGCTGAGGGCGTGGGGGAGGGGGGTCATGCGGAGTGTGGTACGCCTGCGCCGGGCGGCCTGTCATCCCACGTGGGGGGGAGGGGGCACAGGTGGACAGCATAAGCGGTCGCGAGCGAGCGACAGCTCTCAGGTGACAGTCGGCTACTGGGGTACTGTCCCTGGCTTATGCAGGGGATGTTCTTTCAAGCCAGAGGGGGGGGATGGGGCGCGATGCTGCAAGGTATGCGAGGTGCCGATCGGTTGGGGTGAGAGCAGCACTGGTTCGGCGTGGAAGCACATGCGCTCGTTCCACATGCCTCACTTCCAGATCTGGTATCGCCTGTTCACTGATGCCAACAAGAAGCCAGGGTTGGAGTTTCCAGCGAAGGGGTACCCGGGGTGCCAGGCGGACCTGACCCGTGGGAGCACGCTGATGCATACCCCGACATCCATGGTGCGGGCACGTGCGGTTCGGGTGCGGGTGTCGAGGCGGGTCGACGGCAGATCCCTCAGTTCTTCGGTCATCGCGTCACGCAGGAGCGTCTGCGCCACGCTCTTGTCGAGCTGTTCGCAGACGCGGACCTTCCGTGCTGCCTGGTCGACCGCCCCTCGGTAAGAACTGACAGAGATAAGTTTGTAAGCACATGCGCTCGTTCACATCTGCGCATTTTGAACCGCCCACGTGTCGTTATGGAATATCACCCCAACCATGTAGAGCGGCACTTCTGCACACGTCCACCTACTCCCCCCCCCCCCCCTCCTTCCCCTGCCCTCCCTTCCCCACTTCCGCCGCTACACCCGCCTCCTCAATCCTCCCGCTGCTGAACTGCTCGGCTCCCGTTTCTGCCTCGCTCGCGACATGCTCGTGCAAGGCGACGCCGCGCGCGAGCGCCAGCTGCAAGACATTGTCGGTGATGGTGCGGCGGGGAAGGTCTCCCTCACCACGGACATTTGGTCCAGCTCGGCGCAAGACGCTTTCCTTGCCGTCACGGCGCACTGGATCACGACAGACTTCCAGCTGCGACAGGCGCTGCTAGAGTTTGAGGAGATTTAGGGATCGCACACCGGGGTGCTGATTGCAGAGACATTGGAGAAGGTCATATTGGATTGGGGGCTGAAGGACTCTGTGCTCGGCATCACGACGGACAATGCCGAGAACAACATCAAGGCGCTCAAGATCCTGACTGGCGACCCGGAGACCGAGGACGCTCGCAACCCACCAGTGTTGAACCCCGGCTTCTTCTTCAGGTGTGTGTGCATGCCATGCCAGACATGCCATGCCATGACATGACATGACATGCCATGCCATGCCATGCCATGCCATGCCACGACATGCCATGCCATGCCAGGCCTTGCCATGCCATGCCATGCTGTACCTTGCCATGCCATGCCATGGCATGCCATGCCATGCCATGCCATGCCATGCCATGCCATGACATGCTGTACCATGCCATGCCATGCCATGCCATGCCATGACATGCCATACCATGTCGTGCCATGCAATGGACTTCCCCCCTTCAGGTGTCTGGCGCACATTCTGAACCTCGCGGTCCAGAAGGCACTTGGAGTCCCAGCAGTCCTCGAGCCGCTCAAGCGTATGCGGGAGATTGCGTCGTTCATTGGGTGGAGCTTGACGCGCTCGGACGCGTTCGAGGACGAGCAGCTGCGACTGGCGGGTCAGGGCGGCCACGTTCTCCGGCTCATCAGCGACACCCCCACGTGATGGGGGTCGTCCTTTGAGATGGTGGAGCGCTTCTTGATGCTGAAAGATCCTATCCTACTATACTTCTCAGGACTCGAGGTATGGTTCCCAAATTCCTGGGTTGCCACAATTCGCGTGCATGTTTTTCTTCCGTTCGGAAATGCTGACAGTCTCCCTAATTCGCCCATGCGTATTACCCTCCCAAAATATGAGTTTCCCCCTCTGCTGCTGCGTGTTCCCCTGAATCCCCCATTCCACAGTCGGCACGTGACAAGCGCACGCGCGAACAGGCTGCGCGTGTCCGCCTCGCAGATGCGCACTGGGACGCTCTGAGGATTCTGTTGGAATTCCTCAAGCCCTTCCATGACATCACTACTGCGGCAGAGGGGTCGTTGTACCCCACTGCCGCAGCAGTGGTGCCGCAGTACAACCTGCTCATGGATGAGCTTGAGCGCATCTACCACGACCCAGTACCGGGAGCTGTGCAAGCTGTTGACGGGGAAGCTCTAAAGGTACTGAAGAAGTACGTGTACGGCATCAGCATGGAGCTGGCAGTGGCGACATTTTGGGATCCCAGGTTCAAGCAGCTGTACTTCTAGCTCGAGCGGTGGGAGGGGGCCCACCCTGAGCTAGCGGGAGAAGCCGCTGGGGGGCGTCGTAGGGCGGTGCGCGACGTCACATTGGAGCAGGTGGTGACATGGGTCAGGGCCGCTTGCAGTGTTACCTGGATGAGCAGAGCAGGCGTGCGGTGGACGGGGGCCAGGAGGGGACGAGCACAGGGGGAGCGCGGGACTGGGGGGGAGGAGTGTTGCTAGGGGCCCGAGGTGGCGGGCGCTTGTTTGACATGCTGGGCTCGCGATGGCAGAGGTGGAGGCGAGAACGGGAGTGGCTGCGCCGGACAAGGTTCACAGGTACCTGCAGGAGGCATGCTTGGACATGGACGTGTTAGTATTAAGGACGGAGTCTAGGTGAACTTAGGAGCTAGAATTACTCAAAATATAAATCCGAAATTCTGGACAGAAAAGTCGTCTTCACAAGAAACAACGTCGACGAAAACCTAGCCGTTGGAATGTCGCGAAACTTAGATATGTTGTAGCTCTTGATCTCAGCTACCGTTCCCAATTTGAATCACGTTGATTGATGAAGTATTCGCGACGCTATGGCTTTCGACGCACTAGGGGGTAAGCTGTAGGAGGAGAACTTAACTCAATCTCAAGAGTTCAATCAAAGTTCAAGAATCTCACAAGGAATTAGAGGAGCAAGAGAAAGGTTGGGATAGAAAGAGAGGGACGAGAGGGAAGGTCCCAAGAGAGTCCCCAACCAAGGAAACCCCATAAGCACAAAGATTCCCTCCCTATAGGAACCTCAACTTTGACCTTTGTCCCTTCCCAACCAATCCATCCAAGTTGGCCACCCTTGCCAACCTAGCTTGGTTGTTCCCAACCAATTTGCAGCTGTTACAGTAGAGTGACAAATTTCCCCAACCCCAAAGGTCCCAACTCCATATAGAGTCACCCCACAACTTCACTTTGTAACCGCCGCAATTGTAACGCAAGCTCATGAACTTTGAATCTTCATAGCTTTCGCGTTCTTGCTCCGATTGAAGCGATTCTTGTTGCGTCGGAAAGATCTTCTCAAGATCTATCATCAAAATACCTGCTCAAACAAAAATAACACAGAACACATTCCCAAACTCCAGAACACACCACACACAAATTCTTTCACATTCAAACCACACATGCAAGTTGAAAAAACATGGGATGGGAGGCAGACAGAATGTGATAGCATATGATGACATCACACAACAATCTCCCCCTCTGGCTGCCAACCATCATCGACCATACCACATCTCAAGCATGCATACTCAATGCACACTCATCCCAGCAAGCTTCATGCCCTTCCAATGATCCGCCTCCGCCAGACGCTTAGTGAAAATATCTGCTGCCTGCTGATGGGTCTTCACTATCTCCAGCCGCACCTCCTTATCAAGGATTCTCCTCACCCAATGCCACTTAGGCCTTATGTGTTTTGTCAGCCCATGCAGACAAGCATTCTTGGCGAGCTTCACAGCGGACTCATTGTCACAAAACACAACTGTCGGCTTCTCCTGACCAACTCCCAACTCCTCCAACAAACGCCTTAGCCACACTACTTCCTTGGCCCCATGGTGTAAGGCCATGTACTCAGGGATTGGTGCCCAGTAGCAGTGAGCGATCTCATCTTCCTCAATCTGCTCAACCACACTCCCAGCCTGCACCACATTCGGCTTGCCTCTTCCCCCATAGGTCAGCCTCACAGGAGGGCGCACATCCCTCCTAGGACGCTCAGGCGGGTGTGGAACTCGAGGTGGAGACTCATGCTGCTGCTGCTGCTGCTCTACTTCAGCTGCTCCCCCTTCCTCAGTCACCCCAGACATCTCCTCCTCTGACACTGCAACCTCCACCTGTCTTGAAGGCTGCTGCACCTCATCTGCCTCCACAATGAGCGGTGTAGATGGAAGCTTCTGTTGCTGCTGCTTCCATTCCTTATAGTACAGGGACTCAAGAAACTTCACATCCCTTGACACTGTCAGCTTCTGGGTGGTCAGGTCCCATAGCAGCCACCCCTTGTGATCCTTTGCAATCCCCAAGTGCACACCCCATCTTCCAGAAGCCTCCAACTTCCCCCTTTTCTCCTTGGGCACATGAAACACCACCATGCACCCAAATGCCCTCAGCATGTTCACAGCTGGAGCACTCCCATACCACTTGGCATATGGGATCCACTCCTTATCTCCAACTGTAGCCAGCACCCTATTCTTCACAAGGGCGACCTGCCTCAGTGCAGACACCCAAAACGGATCAGGCAGCCCTGCACGCCCAAGGAGAGTGCGTGCCCCCTCCTGCAGGGTCCTGTTGAACCTCTCAGCCACGCCATTCTGCTGCGGGTTGTAGGGCACTGTCAGTTGATGCTGGATCCCCTTCCTCTTCAACTCCCCCTCAAAATCAGCTCCAATGAACTCCCCACCATTGTCACTGCGGATCACCTTCACCTTGTGTCCGCATTCCCTCTGAGCTCTAGGCATCCACTCCTTAAGGACAGCCGCTGCCACCTCCCCCTTGCTCTTCAAAGGGTAAACCCACACTGCCCGAGTGTGGTCATCCACAATTGTCAAGAAATAGCGGCTGCCTGAGAGGGAAGGGGCTCTTGTGGGCCCCACCACATCCATATGCACAAGTGCAAGTGGGGTCTTGGCTGGTCCTGTAGTGCTGTTGAAGGGGAACTTGGAGAACTTGGTCTCCAAGCATGTAGGGCAGCTCCCAATCTCCTTCACTCCCCCTTTCACCTCCAAGCCCTTCAGGCTCCCATCCTTCACCAA